ASTRGKGKRRTMAWYWATTRTKATRWTMYTMSTAGTASTASTAGGTGTAAAACAACAATTGCAATTACATTAGCTAATTAGCTAATTGWGGTATTGGGAAATGTTAACAGCACAGGCCTATGTAGAAATGAATTCTGCTGTTATTCTTRCTTTGATTTAATGTTCTAAATGCTCTGATTAACAGTCTGAATGTTAGCAGGGGAGGCATCCTCCTATTCCTCTCTTTTAGGAAACAAGACCAAAATTATTGGTTTTTGATGCAACTACTAGTAGTGTGTTACTAGTAGTAGTAGCACTAAATGAAGTATGTGGATTGTGTAGGCCTCCAGTGATATACTAATATTCCTCATGCTGAAATAKAATTTGAATGTTTAATTTATTCCCAGCACCAATGCATCAAGTAATGTAATTTCAATTGTTGTTTTACATGTACACATTTCATTACAATTGAATGAGGTCTCCCAGTGAGCAAAAAGTTTTATGAAATTCAAATGTACTGGAAGAAATTCTACTATGTTCTACTGAGSTAGTTTTGGGAAATGAGTCAATGGCAATTCATGATTGAAAGGGTAGATTCATTATTGAATGAGCTGGCGAATCAGTCATTCTTAAATAACAGCTCAGTAGAACCTACTAGTAYATTATGTACAKGTTCTATTTAGCTGTTATTTAACTTTAAATCAAACTTTTTGGTGGTCACTGGTGGTGACTAGTAGAGAACAGCTTAGTAGAACCTGGTACATATTGTACAAGGTTCTACCAAGCTGTTATTTAACWTTAAATTAAAWYTTTTTGGTGGTCACTGGTGACTAGTAGGTAAAATTCCCAAGCTGGAAAGTTAAAGGTAATCCCCCTAGAAGCACAAATAGAAATTTGCATCTCWTCTTCACACTTWAAACCATTTCAAAAAGGCATACAATCAACAAAAATAAAAATWTTTCCATTGTTTGTTAATTTCTTGCTGGTGCCAAACTATTTCTATTGGAGGAGGTCCTTACGACTACTGGGTATATAATATCAGTGGTTACTAATTCTTGAAAATTTCCTTTCATGCTTACTACTGGACAACCTCCTCTAGTACTACTTAATAGTGGGGATGTTATAGTAGTAGTGAGCACTGCAAACTGCTGGGTAAGAAGGCTGTTATGTTTACTATGGGAATTGCCTTCAACTTGCCAGCACACCAGGAATTGTACTTAATAGCTCCTCTAATGGCAAGACCACATTCAATTGTTATGAAACATAGCATTTGATTGAATAGAGCTATTATGGTAAGTCCTGTACTGGCAAGTTCTTATTGTCAATTCCAAACCTCCAGGGTCRGCTGGTTTGCCTGCCATGTGCAAGTACCCCCCTTGTACATTACAGTACTACTACTATAGTAAAAATCCTATGTAGGAGTACTGGACATGTGACCTTTTCTACAGCTAATTTGGTACTGACAAACCTCTGCTATACATACTAAAATAACAATCAAAACAGCAATAAAGGACACAAAACAAAGCAAAACAGTGGCATCTGCTGCAAGCAAAACACCTCATTCACAAGCGTTCATTCACACTCAAACTATTTGCATTTSCGTTTGCAGAGACTAAAGGGACTGGTATGTGGACCATCCATATTCAAGCAAAATGGCAGTTAAGTGTCTCATACATTGCATTTGCAGATACTCAAGGGACTGGTGTGCAGACAATTTGCGTTTGAGGAGGAAACTCAAGGGACAGTGCGTGGAGGCTTTGATACTCAAGCAAATGGTCATTGTGTTTGCATATACTTAAAGGGCTGGCATGTGGAGGCTTCAATGCTTAAGCAAAACACCTGTTAGCATACTGATACTCAATGGTGGACCAGTATGTGGACACTTCATACTCAAGCAAAGTGGMAATTTACTGTCTTGTACTTAAGGGACTGGCATGCTGACACTTTGATACTCAAGGGACCAATGTGCAGACGCTTCATACTCATGCAAAACAGTGATTAACTGACTCATACTCAAGGGACTACCCTGTGGACAGTTTTCTTTTGCAGATACAGTCTGAAGGGTGTATTGTCAAGCCAATATGTCTAGTACTAACCAGCCAGCAATGACAGGAAGAGAGTATATTCATCATGGACGTGATGATCTTCATCACAGAAGTTGGGTATGTCACCATAAGGTCAGCAGTTGCATATACTCAAGAAAGGACTACCATTTCTTCAAGTCAATGAAGTATGTTGCCATAATATTAGTAATGGGAATACAATCCTTGATCTACTGGATGGCAATCATGTACTACAAGACAAGTTTAACATTCTTGGTTCTTTGAAAAAAGCAACAATCAACCAGCAATCTAATWCAGAGGATGAATATGCTGCACAGAATTTGCTGATTTGGAGGAATACACTGATACAGATGAGTACACAAAAAGCAACAATCAACCAATCTGTTACAGAGGACAAGTATGTGATATGGAGTTTGCTGATATGATTGAGGATTGCCCTGATACGGATGGGTGTGCAATACAAATGAGGAGTATGTGATATTGAGTATGCTGATACTGAGGAGTGCACTGATACATAATAYGTGATATGGAGTATTCTGATATGAAGGACATTAATGCTGAGGAGTGTACAGATGGAGGGCACTGCTGATAAGGAGGATACTGATACTAYGAGTCACTGTTACAATACAGACAAGTCACTGATGTGATACAAGAAGTCACTGCCGCTGATATGGAGGACACTGGTGCTGCTGATACATAGTATSCTGATATGGAGGAGCATGCTGGTAATATGGAGGAGCATGCTGATACAGAGGACACTGCTGATACAGAGGAGTACCACACTCCCAGTTTTAAAATAATAACATTTGAAATCTGAAAAAACCAGGCAAACAAGAAGCAATGGTGGGTGAAATGGGCTCAGTTTCTGAATAAATCCTGGGGTGGCCCTCAGGCATTCTCTATGCCAGAATTTTTCCAGAAGTTGAGTGACATAGTCGCAAGTTATTGGCAATTCCCCGGGTGTCAATTTTTTCTCATTTTCCCGTCTTTATTTCCCCTCTCCCCCCCTTCACAAAAAAAATATTTCTATTACTGGTCCTTACTACTTGGAGTATCAAATCAGTGCTTATCTCCAGTATTAAGGACCACTAATAAAAATATGTTGGTACTAGCGAGAAATTAAACAATCTAAATATTTTTATTTTTGTCCGTTGGATGCCTTTTTCACTGGTTTTAACTAAAAATGAGCTAAAAATTTCTATTATGATTTGTACGGGGATTGCCAATAACTTGCGACTACGGGACTTACCATTAATAGCTCTACATACTAGATAGCACCTGAAGTACAGAACGAACTCGTGAAGCTCGTAACAGTATCCAGATCTTCATTATCACTCCGTATCGTTAATTCTCACGCATTCTTCAGACTCCAATACGAGAATTAGCTTGAGCAGACACCGCGTCCATCGTCCAACCTTCCGACCACAAGTCTAGTATTAGTAAAAAGTACGAGGGTCATAATTTTATCATCAGTAACAGCACAGGTACACACATAGTACCCCCAAACCGCCGTGCCTGGATTCAAASTTTGAAGAAGCAGTCAACAGCATGACCAACAGTTCTTCTTGCGACGTAGAAAGTGCGGTCCACGAGCAACCAGGAGCACCGATGCATTCCTTTTCCGGCTCCAACAGCAGCAACAGTGATATGTCCTTTGCTGTGCTGTGGTCGCCTCTTCACCCGATTACGGCGATACTTCCCTTCATCGGGCACATGGGAATCGCCGATAGTCGTGGCCACTCCCACGATTTCCAGGGACCGTATAATGTCGGCACGGATAGCTCCCGCCCTTTGCCACGAATGGCCTTTGGAAGACCTACGCGGTACCTCAAGATGGATATCGGGGAGCTTCCCGGGGGMACCGGGCGKTGGGACGAGGCGATCCTAGAAGCCGATCGTATCTACAAGCAACGCATGCACAACATTTGTTGCGACAACTGTCACAGCCACGTGGCACGAGCACTCAACATAATGGAATATCAGGGTAGGCACGATTGGGATATGGTSAAGCTTTGCTTTCTTGTGTTTTTCAAAGGATCCTTTGTGAATTTTAACTCGGTGATYTTGCAGTTTGGTCCCTTCCTTTTATTGTTGGTGATGGTACTACTTTTTACTTGAATATTGATTTAGAGAGAGAAAACGATAAGAATCCAGTTCCTATCAACTTACTTGCCGCTTGCTGTGATACATAGCACGGGTGAGTTCTGGTTTGGATTTGTAACTCCCACGACTTGACATGATAAATGGAGATCGCTCTTCTAGCAATGATATAGAATTCACAAATTGATATAATATGAAATGTTCATCATTACTGTAATGTTTCGCGCTATMATTTAAGAGATGTAAAAAACTYATTTTTTCAATTTGCTCGTCACCCCATCCGTCCGCGGGCTATTTGTTTTGACACCGAAATGCATCCATCCTTTTCTTCGTGTGAATGACATTTGAAACACCGATCATTCACTCGCTTTTACAAAATTTCTTCATACTGGTTGGCCCTTGCAACGTAGCAAAGGAAAGGAGGTGAGTACTCGCTGCAACGGACTCATCTTCATATTCACKCTATGAYTTTTCTAAGTGCTATCGACAGCAGATGTATTCTGATATTCAMACCKTTACCGACACARCATGTTCTTTTATTCTTTATCACTCGTATTATTCTTTTTTGAAACGATCTTTRAAACCCGTCTTGTGAGGTACAAAGTACTTAACCGCTGCTCATTTCTCCGCATTAAAAAATAATAAGAAGAAAAAGGTACGACCAATCAACATTTTTTGTTCGTTCACAGCGTCGCACTTAAGTTATAATTATTCGTGTAAAAGCGGAGAAAAGAAATTAAATACTTCTACTTCAGTACAGTAATTTCGAACATTTCTATACAATCTTTGCGCAAGTCGTCGAAAAATTATCAAAACCTCTTCCTTCCTCCCAAGTCTCACAAAACAGAAACACATCCACGAACAAACCAAAACCAATCTATAATCACCGAAATCTAAAAATAATGAATRCTATGAATATATACACCATCACTGTTTTCATCATTGCGTTGCAAAGCGCACAAGCTATGGTATCTCCCGCAGTTACATGCTGCGAAGAAAATGGAGGCACATATGAAATTCTTGACGGCAGCGACGGTCAATCAGGATTCTGCAGAAAGGATGGAGTCAATACAGAAGAGATGACCTTCATGTACCAAAACTGTCCTCCTGCGCCAATGCCACACCCTTCCAATGAACCAACCACAAGGTATTCAGTGTATGCCGTGAACAATTGTGATGCAACTGTGACAGCCAACTTTGCTCTCAGATTGAGCAGTAATGGTGGAAACCGAAACAGTCGCGTTCAGGTCCAGCAAGGTCAATGCAAATATGTGGGTCCTACTAATTTAGACACTGTGACCTATACAAGTCAAGGGAGTTRTGTCAGTCGTGGAAATGATTCCTGCTTGAGCATTGGAAATTCCAACAACTCAGATTGCAACTTGATGGGAATGGCAGAAAATGCTTGTGTTATCAACCTTTGCTAAACTCACATTTCATTACAGTTCAGTTGAAATAGACCTATAATTAAACACATAGATAAATCCATTAAACATAATCATTTATGTAGAAGTGACTACAAAAACAACCAAAACCATGAAAGGTGTTTCWTGCAAAATGTCCATAGCCCAACCTTCAAAATGTACGTGTGCTCTTTAGTGTGGTATAACTACGTGTTTACAATAAAGAGTGAGTGGATGAGCCATATTGTGCTGTCACTCACTATCTACTCGTGCTTTACATGGTGCTACCTCACACTTCTTTCTCATTTCTTCAAATATCCCCTCCACAGTCTGTTTCATAATATGTGACCCCTCTTATATCCCGGAGCAGAAATGCACCTGTTGAAGCTTTGTCAAATAGATTATATTCGTATCMAAGTGGAGAGGGCACGTTTCTTGTTGGATCYCAACGCAATTRATTGAGGAAACTTGAATTTATTGTTTTGATAACAGCTTTATTCGAAGAAAAACTGACGAGAAACATTGAAATAGACTCATAACTAAATCAAAACTAAGTAGTTCATCGTGGTGATAGTGATAGCAGCAGCTTTAACTTTCATCTATCAATCAATGCGAAATAACTTGTATCGTTTTGAGATATGAAATGATCACAACTAAAGTTGGGAAATGGAATTCGTCTATCACTTCGTTCTTTCAGATAATCTACTCCGCTGATTCGTGCCATTGCAGTGGCCTCTGCTGAAGAAAAGGTCAGTTGTTGATTCGTTTGTTTGTGTAGTGAAGGATGCTTGAGAAAGATGTTCAGTCACATGCGTTGACCGGCTTCTTATGATATTTCTATTCCACACCAAACTTCTCTTCCCAGAAACAACTCTGATATTTGTATGCCTTCTGTTCGAACTCAATTCCATATCGCACGCGTGAAATTCTCGATTGTATTGTTGGTATCAACCAGGGCGTCAAAAAACGATAGGTTCCCGACACCATTCATTAATTGACTGGTAGGCTCATTCACGTTCGCTTACTCATTCAATTGACCCTAGGATGTGGCGTCTTTCTTCATTTTGTTGCAGTTTCTTCCCTCAAGGACAAACTATGTTCGGCGGCTTGGTTCCCCAGGTCGGCAAGATCGGTGCACTGTTGGAGAGAGGATGAGCACGGACAACCCAGGAAATTGTCCAGCATGGTTGCAATGAAAAGCGACCCGCTGGATTTAAACTGTGCGTCGTCGATAGCTCCTTTTGTTGCGGTGAGCTCGTACATGGTTAGGATGAAGCGGTCTTTTGAATTTTATTGCTGTAAATTCTATGACAAACGTGAAACCCCTTTGTGTGTCGACGGAGGCACAATACTGATCGGATATATGGTTTCTTTCCTTCGACTCAAAGATTCATTCCAACAAACTACGGTTGGTTAMAAGGCTTTTTCTGATGTCAACTTGGGTGCACCTCTTGGCTACCGCCGATCGGAGTTTCGAGTAGTTGTGAACGAGGTTTTTGTGAGTACCGCATCTCTGYTTCGGAACCGTTGGAGTGACGGTTGACGGTTTGGTGAAGGTAGCAGTTACGGTACGTACCGCGACCATGCATTCAAAGGTTCTAAAATCCTACGGTACTACAGTATCCGGACCAAATACTGTATGGTGGTACTGTACTTACTACTGCACAGGTTTTCGGAGGGGGATTTTGTTTCATATTAGACGTTTTCTTGGAGTTAGGGATAATACTATAATTTGGTGGAAATCGAGCAATATGATTGGCTAATAAGATAGATCAAAATACAGTTTTAGAATTCGCAGGGTCCTTCTGGTTGTGAAACGTTGTTGCGTGTGCCAAAAACAGTTTCGATAATTTTGATCTATCTAATTAGCCAATCAGATTGCTTGATTCCTACCAAATATAGTGTTATCCCTAACTCTAAAAAAACGTATAATATGAAACAAAATCCCCTTTTCGTACGATACGAACACCTGTGACTGGCGGCCGGCCGCGTGTATGATGTACGAGTACGAAGGTACAATACTCCTGCCCTCATCAATCACATCAACATTCAACATCAAAATAGTAGAAGTAATTCGTAATATCTCGTACCATACTATGTATAGTACCTAGTAAGAGTAATACTGTTAGCTGTTCTGAATCTGAAGGCAAACCTACCAAGAAAATGACTTTTCAACTTGAACATCACTAGAAGGCAATAATATCATTGATATTTTACTATCATACATAACGGTATTGATTACAGTACGTACAGTAGTTCCCACTGTAAAAGTACGTCTAATAGYACTTCGAAGTAATACAATCACGACTACGTACTCGCTTAGATATGAAGTCTTTTTCAATCTGGGAATCGAATCGGCCGCGTATATACTTCACCGACATAATTTATTTATGTCCRATCTTCAACGACATGGTGATAACAGAATACTTCTAWTAYCGATTCTAATATCGATTTTCGATTTTTAGAGTAAAACGTCAATTTAAAATGAATCGTGAAACGTCTGAAGAGAGGAATCCTTGTCATTTTTGTAGCATCGGAAGGCAGGAAAAACTTCATACACTTTTTGAATTTTTAAAATAGAAGTAAGAGTGACACAACAGCACCAATAGAACCAGAAGCAAGGTGCCATAATGTCCTCTAGMATTCCCCAAAATGTCTCTCTTTAACAATCCAAAACGTCGACAAAGGCAAGAAGCATCCCAGGTCGAAGCCGATCACGATATTKCCATCACGTCGAAAGCCTTTGGCAGAACTATGAGATCGAGAGCAAGCGCGGAGGCAAGGGCGATCCACTTGGGAGATTGCAGCTTTTCATCCCTTTCGATGAGGACAATCGATACCTGTGCTGACCGAAGTTCCAGGCGAGATATTTCCGCGGAGCTGTGGTCGTCCATCGATTGGAGTGCGCAAGGCGGGGATGGGGTTACAATCGACACCAGCARCCAGAAAAACGAGGTTTGGCATTCGTCGGCCTGTAATTTGTCGAAGACGTTGCAAACCGTTACTTATGATTCCTCGCTCGGTGGTAACGACGAAACCAGCACAACACATTCCGCAACCACAATCGCAACCACAAACCGCGATCGGAACAGTACCGCATCCGAAATGACACTCGAAGAACTCCTCCAAACCTTCCTGACCAGCGACGACATTTGCAATGATAACGACAATAATGCCAGTGCACACAGCCTCGAGCTTCAGAATAGAATCAGAAAAACATATTTTCTGGATGGTATMTTATTGTCAGACAATACAGCAGTCAAAAGTGAAGAGATGGGTATAGATAAATAAGGTTACAATTTTGAAATATTATGTTGAATAAAGATTGTCATGATAGAGTGAAGTAGTACTAACGATAGTGTAACAAGAATGTAACAACAAGCCTTTTGCTGTTAAAGGATTGAAGACGAGCATGTAATATATTGGTGTGATGAGAAAGATGATGTMAAGGAGAAGTAAAGTAGTTTTAAATTGGACCAGTACTGTTCCTTCTTCCTTAAAGCAGCTCATCAGAAGTGCAGTTCCCTTTTCATATCAGCACCAGCAGCAGTACTAGTAGTATTGGTGGTGATCCAGTACCAAAGGAACAACAAGAAGTTCTTGTTGCTCTCCTGTATCTGCAGAACTTCACTGCATCATCATGTTCTTCTTCTGGACTGGTGTTGTTGCTTGGTTCCTGGTTTTTCTTCAGTCTTACTAGCATCTTTGGACAAAGTGGGTGCTGATCATGACTTCGTTCTTTTCTTCTTCCACCAGCACCAGTWGACCAGCAGTAGAGGAAGAACTGCTGGTAATGTCTTCAGAATTTTTCAGTGCTGTTTGTTGCAATCTTTCCACTAAGATGATTCTTCTTGTTGATGAGTCAATTGCTGATGGTAGGCTTCTCCTTGGTGGAGTCCCTTTAGTTCTTGGAACGTTATTGGTACACCACATACATACCTATACGACCTTCAGATAGTATGTACAAGTAGTAATTACCATAATTACGGAGCCTGCCTGCGGTGGAGGTACGGGGTACCGGTACGTGCATACGGTACGTACCAGTACGTATCCATCTCGACCAATGTTGATACGGTGCACAGATACTGTGCACAGATACTATTAAAAATACAAGCATTCGACAACAAACGCGAAGTTGACGTTGACATTCCTTTCATTGATCAGCTGGGAATAGTACCTCATACTCGACAGCAGCTAGACACTGTACCTCTAGTGGAGAGCGGACAATACTATGAGCAATCCGGTAACCATTCCGGACGACACTGGGTCGTCCTCTGTTCCCCAAAGCGAAACAACCTGGAGCATCAGAAAAAGCAATAGCAACGACGGCAAGGAGGACGAAGAGGATACCGTGTCCAAGACCRCCGTGGCTCTCGGCGGTTTGCGAAAGAGAAAATCTTTCGCCCTGCTCGACGGATTCTTTCAGGATCTCGAAACCGGGGAGCACGAACGCGTAACGATCGACATAACGCGACTCCCTGCCATGCTGGGGCGATCCAACGAGTCCGACAAGGGAAACCCCMACTTTTTTGGCCTGGGAAAGAAAAAGGCCATCTCGCGAAAACACTGTATAATCTACTACCGCGATCGGGAGGGAGGTCGCGCCGAGTGGGACGAGATGGCCGACAGGGTGGTCTACAAGGATGCGTCCATGGTGGCAAAGGAAAGCGGTAGGCCAGTGAGCAAAACCCAGCCAATACCCAATCCCGGAATGGGAGGGACCATCACCAAGGGCGGTAGCGATGATTTGCCGAGCAGCGGATTTTTTGTCGTTGAATGTCTCGGCAAAAACCGTATCCTGGTGGACCAGAAACGRGTGGACCAGGGTGACTCGATGGTCTTGCGACCGGGATCAGCGTTACGGATTTCGTCCTACATGCTCTACTTCATGCTGCCGAAGGACGCGGTCCCCGCGACGCACAAAATCGAGATCCCGCTCACCCAGGAGCAAAAGGACAAGGTTGCCGCTGCCAAGGCCAGCAAGAAGAAAGCCACCGCTAAGGCCTCAAAGACGGCGGCTGCTTCGCCTTCAGTCAAGAAACGACCTGTTCCGACGCTGGCCGCTTCGGCCATGAAGAAAACCAAAAAGGGCGGGGGCAACAGTGCGGCTGCCACYCTGGCCGAGCTGGAGGCCCTCCCGGTCGAGGACCTCATTGAGCGCATGAACGAAGCCGTCACCAAGGGGATTTGGGATCGGAAAAACCAGTTTATCGGGGGCACGATTTGCTACCACGCTGTTCGGAGCGCCGGGGCTGCCGCCGAGATTCAGAAAAAGGTTTCCGAGGACGGGGGGGTCTCCCGCAGCGACATCATGGAATGGATCGAGCAGAGTGACCAGTACGGTGCGTGGGTTCAGCAAATGCTGACCAACATGGAACCAAGGTCGTACCAGGCCTCCATTACGAAGTCCCTGTTAAAGTCCGGCTTTGTCCGGACCTCGGGGGCCGGAAGGTACATCAAGTGGATCACACCGAAAGACCTCTCCGCGAAAGCCAAGCACGAATCGTCCTCTAGAGAAAGCAGCAGCGAGGCTTCCAAGAAAAAATTGAAGCTAAAAACGATCAATTCGGTCCCTTCGGTAGACCGCAGTGAAGAAGGTGGTGCCTCGAGCGAAAAGGGTGACGAAGACGAGGAGGAAGAGGACGAGGACGAGGACGTGGACGAAGGTGATGAGGGGGTAGACGAAGAGGAGGACATCAATGATGAAAACGAGGATGAAAACGAAGAGAGCAACAGCCAAAACGACTCCGAGGACGGGGACAACAGCGAAGAAAATGGAAACTCCGGAGACGAAATGTCTGTTGAAGAGAACGCCGACAAAGATTCCGAGAGCGACTAGGACAATTTTTTGCTGGGAAAATKGATTGATCGAAATAAATGATGCTACTGAGGGTTCCAAGCAACCTTAAATTTGGAACATTCGGAACGAGCAATGTACTTGAACAAGATTTGATAGCAACTGATTCGGGTATCCAACGATAGCAAACGCAAACGCACAACCGAGAGATGGTATATCATAAGAAGTACGATATATGCCATAACTGTGATGTCAAATTGTTTTCCATTAGTACTAGCCCCGAAAGTTGTTCTAGTACCTACTGAAAGTGAATTTTGTTGTTGAAGTCTATGAAGTTGGATTTTTTTGTTCTTCTTGTCCTACTTGCTAGTAGAAGCTTTTTGCTTAAAGCTCAGTTCTTGTATTGTCGTCGAGCTTGGATGATGCTGTAATTGCTGCGCACGCAACCAAAGTATGGTACGTACYTATTTTTGTAAGAGATTAAGAGACAGAGATACTGATTCTTGTCGATCACGATGACGATCACAATGATGGCACGTCAATTTCGAGTTGCGTCTTCGGCCGCACCAGTTTCAGTCGAACTAGTCGTAGTGAGAAAGTTTCTTGAGCATCACATTTTTCTTGGTAGGTAGTACGGTACCGGTAGCTCGAAATATTATTCAACCGTATTGTACTAACGTTACGTCCGTCGTATTGTTATAATTTCTCCTACGGTATTACGTATTCGATATTCCAGTACTTAACGATATTACGATTTCGATTTTTAAGTCAGAACGGAAGAGAGAACAGTAATAGTACTGTACTATTTTTGTGTCCGAACGCAAGTTTCTATGGAATGGTGAATGGTAATTAGAAGTGTATCAGTTCTTAGTATCGTTTCCAATACTTCATCATCAGAACGCATGCACCACTATTCCAATCAAAACCGAAGCAAAGTGAACGGCAATTCATTTCTGAYACCGMCTGCAATGGAAGGAGKATGGATTATTCATTTCGAGCTTCTCGTCGCTTTCGTTTCGCATTATGTTACAATGGACTAATTCTTCTCCTTGTACTACTATTCATATCCAAAACGGTCGTCCGGGTACAGGGGTCTGGTTCCGACCTGCAGGATCGATGGAGTCTCCCAGAAGATGGCCCCACGAGTTTYGATTATGACGAAGATGAAACCGATGAAGGAGCAATCTTTTTCTTTGAATTTCCAATCTCGAAAGACRTCGCTACAGATGACAACGTCGACGTGAGTTTTTACGACCAGGGCTGCCGCTACAACGACGGAGATCCAARGGTAGAAATTTTCAAGGGAATTTCGGAAAATGTCAGTTTTCGGGGGACGGAAAACACCRTTTTCGCAGATCTGAATATGAGGCTAGGAACGTCCGAAACAAATCTTCCATCGCTGCTACAGGAATATCCAACGCTATGGGACGAAGAGAAAAGCCAGATCTCTTTCTGCGTTCGGTTCTCACTGGTGACAGACGGCATCGAGGTGAACTTTCTTGAAACCGTCGTGATCCTAAAGGTCAATCTCGTGGCGGGATTTCAAATCATTGACGTATCCGTCGCGCCAAAAGAGAAAATCGAGAGCTTTGCCGGGGTATCCTACGATGTCACTGCATATCTTTGTGGTGGAAACTACAAACCACTCGAGGAAGAAASAACTGGATTGGTCGAAATGCTGTATGAGGTGTGCGATGCAGACAACCAAATCCAGACAATTTCGGAGGTCACGGAAATAACWAACACTGCGCAGGTCGGACAGGAATACCAGCAAGAGCTTTCGGAATCACAAAAAGTTGAAAAAGAGCCAATTATCTATCCACAGGGATCCGTAGTTAGGGTGTGCATCCGACCCGACGACACCGTTTACGGGGAGGTTTCGATGCGAACCATCGAGGCTTTGGTATTTGAGGGCACCTACACGGCCGCGATCGATTACCAAATCGTGGCARCGCCACCGCTTACTACCAAGAGCAATGGTGTGTTTACTCAGTATGCTGTCAAAGACGGATCAACCGACGTATCGTTTGATTTGTCGTACATGTCTTGCGAAAGCAATCGCTTAGAAGGWCACGACGATGTTGTTGTGTGTGCGGTGGATACGGTGCTGGTTGCGGCGTTCTTTTGGAGGACACCCGGTGTTACGGCGACCGTCACAGCCTATGGTGTTGCCACCCTGCAGTTCGGAACTCCGGCGTCCGACGAACGAAACTTGGMAAGAACAGTTACTAGTGAACTCCATCTGCAGTCAGGGGAGGACCGCCCCAGCCAACGCSAAGCAGAAGTCGACCTTGAAAAAATATGGAGCATGGACCGTCCGATTGTCGAYTTCTCGACGATGCGCGAAGAGGGAGGATTTGACTTCGACATGGAGTACACTTTCAGTGATGCGATTTCCAACGAAATGATCCTGGTCGAGGCCTACAACAAGGAATGCGAGCAACCGGGCGAGGAGCCCATCGCAACTTATCCTTTCCTCAMCAACTCACAAGCGTCTTCCGATCTCCTGGAGGTCTCTTTTACGAAAGCCTACAAGACCGGAACCGGACAAGGCACACAAAAAGTGAAGGTAACGGCCCAATGGAAGAGGCAGGAAAAGGGTTTTATGCGCTCMCTCCAGGATTCCGAATTRTATAGCGAAAACTCGGATGGAAGCTTCGTGCAGATCTCCGTGTGCATACGGTGCCARTTGCACACGTCGAGGTCCGACGGCGGGATCGAGGTCAACTTCCTGGAAACCCCCGTGATCCTCAACATCGATCTGAAGGCGGGAGTTGATTTCGGGATAAACTTTGGTCTCGTGCCCGATGACGACAAGTGCCTCGCCGAGCTGCAGCGAATGAGCGGGGGGGGATTCGACAGCCTCTACGAGAACGCACTATACTGGAAACCGGGTTCCAGCTCGGTCGATCCCTCCATGCCGATGGGACCCTCCGTGTTTGGATCGTATTCGTCCCGGTACGGAACGAGCTCGTACGGCGGCTCTGGGTCCGGCTACCGGTCGTCGCACACAAGGGCCCAACCGGGAAACAAGTTTTTCGGGTCGAGGCCGTCTTCCGCCACCAGCACCGCAAGCTTGTACATCGGAGCACGCACCACCGCAATCGGATTTGCGGTGTCCCTGCTGGTAGTGCTTTCACCGATGTGAGAGCTGTCGCTAAAATGGCCACAGAAGGCATCGAAAAGTCTCTTGTACTATTAGATCTTAACATAGAGTCAAAATTATTCAAATCAATACAGAGCCCCCGTGCATTGCATTCCTGAATCTATCGGGCGAATGAAGTGGTGCCACAATGCAACGCAACGCAACGCAACGCAAGGCAAGGCAAGGCAACGCAATTCAATACATTGCAAACCACCCCAGCGCCCAAAACGCGATCGTGCATTCGTCGATGCGCCTTTTTGTCGGARCCACGATCCGTCTCGGGCCCATGCCCGGCCGGCAGCCGGTCTTCCGCTCGGAGTCCACCGGCGTGGCTAGGATGGCGGGGGCGCTTCGGAAGCCTCGCTCCCGCCGTAGATCGGCCCGACGACGTACCGGGGATCGGGGTACCGCAGGAGGGCCTCGCCCCGGTCGGGAACAGACGAGGCCCCCGGCATGTCGTGGTCCGTTTCGGGGGGCYGGTCCGACAGCTGGAAGTGCAGGTGGGCGTGGATCCAGCCCCCGTTCTCGTCGATGTCCCCCATCCTTCCGAGGACCTGGCCCCGGGCCACGGGGTCGCCCGGCGAGAGGCGCTTCCGCTGGCGGCTCTTCCACGGCCACCGCCGCCGGCCGCCCCCGAGGACCGACCGGTCGAGGTGCCCGTACAGGGCCCAGCACGTCTTGGGGGTGGCGGTCCCGTYCGGCCCGGTCCCCTCCCCCCAAAAGTGCTGCAGGACGACGGCGTGCCCGTAGTCCCCCCKCTCGGGGTTGTACCCGACCGAGTGGACGACCGCGTCCGAAAAGGCGTGGACGGGCGTTCCGACCGGCCCGCCGAGGTCCAGGCCCAGGTGGACGGTCCTCCTGCCCCCAAAGCCGTCGATCCTGTGGTCGAGGTCGTCGAAGAGGTCCGACTCGTACATCCCGCCGTCCCGGTTTTCGTCGTATTTTCCGATGCCCCAGGCGGAGGAAGAAGAAGTCCGSCCCCCCCGTGTCCCCRGGAGGAACCCCCGGGCGGCGGAAGAGACCCTCCRGACYAGGGCGAGGCCCCCCGCGAACGCCTGGTGCAGGAGCCGCAGGGGGAGGGCCCGCTGATGCGCCCGGAGGCGCTCTAGCCTCCGCAKCGCGATCTCCTCGCCGGAGGCCARCTCTCCGCTGGACCTCCTGTGGTCCTTGACGGTGACGGATCCACGGACGCTCCTCGGAAAGACCACGAGCGGGTAGAAGGAAGCCCGGTCCTCCTCGGTGATGTTCAGCAGGTTGGGGTAGCTCCCAAAGGGCGAGTCGAAGGAAGGGGGGACGGTCTTCGCCTCCTGTTCGAGTTCGGAGTGGGATCCTCCCTCCTCCGGTGTGGCCGCCTTTGCGGCGGCCAGCGACAGCCACGCGAKGACCAGAGCCCGCATGATCACCGAWGAACCCCCGCGGCGGCCAGAGAGCCCTCCCGCTGYCGGCGACGGCGGCAGCAACAACGACAGCGCCATGGGAGCGACTGCGGACCGGAAGGGAGGGGTACTCGCTTCAGACAACCGTGTTGCGTCCTCTTCTCCKGGCAAAAGCAGGGCACCAAATCGAATGCGGCACACCGAACCCAATGTTTGTGTGTTTTCTTGCGRTGGGTCGACAGCTGTTGCCAAACGAACAGTCTTGTAGTAGTATCTCGAACAAACGGATGATGGATGACAAAATGATGGTGATGGATTCATGATTCGTTCTTTCTTCGTTCCGGAGAACGGTACAAGTACGAAGTACTTGTACTTTCGTACTTTATCCACGTCGTACGTTGCGAGCTACGGTTTGTAATGTWCTTACGTAGCGGTACCTGGTACGAGTAGGTGCGATTCGAAATTCGAAATCTCCTTGTACATACAGTAATCACGATTCATATCTACTTTACGTACATAAYCTATGAATAATACTTTCGTGCATATTTAATATTTACGGTGCCTTACACCACGACGTACTTGGTACGAGTACGAACCACTTTCGGGACATTCAAAATTTCAAAAATTCAAAAACAGCGACGAATGAAAAACGACCGGTCCTCCCCGCTTTTCCAAATGACCCCAACCAGTACGAGCACGAGTACGAGTACTCGTACTCTGTGAAATACTGATGGGCTATGCTCACAATAAGCTCACAACCTCTACCTGAGAACGGTACGTACGGTACGGAAAACAGTGACAGAGCACGAAAAAAGAAAGAACAGAACACACGACAAGAGTTCGAAGGGAAGAAACGAAACAAAGCAGCACCGGTGAACAAACCAACGCACCGACCAACGACGAAGCCAACCAGCCAGCCAGCAAGCAAGCAAGAGCACGAAAAAAGAAAGAACAGAACACACGACAAGAGTTCGAAGGGAAGAAACGAAACAAAGCAGCACCGGTGAACAAACCAACGCACCGACCAACGACGAAGCCAACCAGCCAGCCAGCAAGCAAGCAAGCAAGCAACGCAACGCAACAAAGAAATGCCAAAACCACCGGCCGCCCCGAAGGAGCCCCAGGTGCACGTCTGGGTGAAGCAGGGAAAGACGGACCACATGGCAACGCTCGAAGACCCCGGCGTCCTCTCCCTCMTGGACAAGGCGGCCAAGAGGCCGAGGAGGRGGGAGGCCGGCATCGCCTGGGTTCTCGGCAAACTGGCGCTCTCGGACTGGCTGGAGGAAGTCGGGCCCGACGACCCGGTCCTGGTGCGATGGAACTCCAACAACCAGAGGGGCACCGCCTGGGCCGGGGGGGTCCGGTTCCGCGACCCGGAGAACGAGGGCCGGCGGGGAGGCAGGAGGCCCCCCCGCGGTGCGAGCGCGAGCGCAAACGATTGGTTCGTGTGGTCCGGGGCCGGGTCCTTGCAGAATCCGAAGCGGAAACGGAACAAGAACGACAACGACAACGACAACGAGAGGCCCACCCGCGTTGCAAGTGCGACTGTTACCACGAGCGAATTGTCGGTGGGATCCGCGTCCGAGTCCCCGCAAAAGCAGAAACAGAAACAGAAACGGAAACGGAAGAGCGACACGAAAAAAGACAAAAAGAAAAAGCACAAGAAGTGGCCGCTCCTGGTCGCCATCAAGCAGGAGGAAGCCCCGGAAACCCTTCCGGTGACCGGGGAAGAGCCTGCCRCGGGAGGCGGGGATCTTGGGCCGYGGGAGCCTCCGTCCAAGCGACCGAGGGAAGGAACRCCGCCACCCRAAGGGGAGGGACGGTGCGAAACAGGGCAAGAGCAAAAGCAAGGGGGGGAGCAAACCCTGGACCCACGGGGGGGTGCTCAACACGAAGCAGAACCACAGCAGCAACAAGACGAACAACAGAAAGACCAACGGCAACCGGAAAATCAGAAAGAGCAGCAGCCGCAGCAAAAGGAACAGGAACAACGAAAAGAGCAACAACAACAACAACAGGAACAGGAACAACAACAAGTGGTGCAACAACAAGTGGTACAACACAAAGACCAACCGCAAGTGGAAAATCAGAATGAGCAACAACCGGAACAAAGCAAACAACGAGAAAATCAACCTCAACATCAAATGAAAAAAGAGCAGCAACAAGAGCAACAACAACAAAGCGAACAAAATGTAGACCAACCGCCACTAGAAAAGCAGAGGGAGGAACAGCAACATCAAGGGAATGAGAGAGACCAAACACGTCAAGAAACAGAGGAACAAGAGAAACAAGGAATACAACAAATAACAGAGCAAACTCGAAAACAACAAAAGCAGCAACGRCAAGACCAACAACAGGGAAAGCAACACCASGAACAAGCAAAGCTAGAACGACGAAAAAAGCAAGAAAGACAACGAAGTCAAGAAATGGAGCAACAGCAAAAACTGAAGGAAAATCAAAAACAGCAAGGTAGGGAACAAAATCAAGATCAGCAAGGACTCGATAATAAAGAGCAACAACGAAAGCAGAAAGAACAACAACACCGAGAACAACAACGAAAAGAGAAGGACAAAAAGCAAACCGAAGCGCAAGCTGAAGCTGAAGCGCAAGAACGCCAACARGAAGAGAAAATGAACAAGAATCAAAAGCATCGGAAACCAATCGAGGACAAACGAGTAACCGAAGTTTCTAATGAAAACAGGATTCCACAAAATCTTTGGTCGGAATGCCACACATCCAAACCATCGAGCGACACGAGTGAACCGAGTGAGTTCTCCCTGCATCGTCAGTACCAGTACTACACGGATCTTTTGAACCAAGAATTTGATTCCAGCGACGACGAAGTTATTATTWGTCGAATGGAATGGCGGCGAAAACGAAAAACCTTGATCAAGACCGAACAGTCGTGGTGAAAAAYGCGGTCTTGTCGGGGGTGTCGCAATCCYGATTTTGGCCATTTCCCACGGGAGTGACAGGTAGGACGTGCCGATCAACGATCAATTCGACTTTGTGACCAACACCAAGGAATGGTTGTTCAAACTCTATACACGCAGTACGCATTCAATGACGGGTACTTGCAAGAATCTTTCAAAGTTGTGTAGATCGGGCGAGTCGTGGAAGAAGTGTGTACTAAACACACAACCTAGAAATGCAATCGACCCAAGAGACGAGGAGGTCTTTGGTGTCACAAAGAAAGCCTTTCTGTTCGAACGATTCTACTCTACTTTTCGAKAATTGTTTCGTACTGCGCGCATCGCCAGCACTTGCTTCCAGTCTTCGACAAGCCGGAGCAGACACAAGGCAAAGGCTTCCCATACCAGCGACCGTTTCCAGGGACGTCCCCCCGGAAACGGAAATTTCATCAACCCGAGGCCATGAACAATGCCAAACACTCCGCTGAGGCCTTCKGTATCACCCACCGATCGATCCACGCTTTATCCACCGGTGAGTTTGTAGCAGTTTCCATCGGCATCGAACCTCATCGAGAAGCACTGGGGGGGGGCAGGCATATCCGTCTGTTGGTGGCCGGAAATTTTGACGGACCCAGGACCAGGGTTCCCAGGTGCYCGTATGCCCCCCTCGACATCATCCAGATGCGATTGGGTTCAAGGGGATCAACCCGGAAGTTGCAAAAGTTTGCCGATGATGTTGGAAAGGCATCGCGAACCTTACATTCTGTAAAGGCTTTGACAAACTGCTGCTTCGTTAGCGGACCGACCACAGGAAAAACAAACTGGAAATCGTCGGGCAAAAGAGATGGATCGTGACCTCCCAAATCGTTGCAAATGAGATTGATTGCCAGTCCCTTCGGTTTTGTTTGGTTTCCCAGGTCGGAGCGGTTGCTGCTGTCGCCTCGGGATATTCTTTSTTGGCGTAGGAAACGGTTTTCTTCAGAGTTTCTGCCTCGTCCATCACCTGAGAGGGGCCCTCGTTGCCTCCCTCTCGGTTTCCGGTACCCGGTCGACACACGATCGGRTCGTTTCGATTTTTCTGGAAGGTGCGCACCCGTTCGGAATGCGGGGTTCTGGAGTCTTGTTCGATCCGTGCCAGGGTGATGGCCGAAATTTCCTCCACGATGGACCGTGCCGTGGCATCGATCACGCCGATGAGCAGGTTCGATCCGAACAGAACGCAGGCGCAAGAAACGTGCCCAGCGGTGCCGAGAACGGTGCGGAAACAAGTCACAAGCATCTTATGGACTTCCTGTTTGATACCGATCCAATGACAGGAATTGAGCCGATAGAGTTGCGAGTACAAACAGGCAGTTCTCTTCCGTCAATCGGACGTCGTAATGTATCGTGTAGTTCAGATGGTACAATTTGGAAGAACAGAAAAAATCGTTCATTTACGGCACATACAGCATTGGTCTGTAATTTTGATGTTTGAATGGGTCAGTCAGTATGGCACGAATACTGTAGATGATTTAGYCTCGATTACGTACCTAATCATTTGCCTTGTCGTAAAATGCACCTTCCCCATATCAATGGGTTCAAAAAAGACGAGTAAATCTTTGTTRTAATTATGGAGTACTCTTRACAGGTATGTGGCGAGGGAATAGACGTCCATAACCAGCTTTTCATCCGAGAATATTTTGGAATGTATAGTTGATCTTCATCATGGGYTTTTCGAAATTAATATARAGGATCATTACAGGACCTGATCCGAYACTTGCACAGCGAAGCCGGGGAAKTTGAGCTACGAAGAACAAGTAAACAAAAATTGYCAGTCCCAAAAAAAGACGACGAAAAATCGAAGAAGATTGGCAAACATGACAGATTCGGACTACGTTTGAGGGCATCTTACCAACTTWATGAGATCCGCCACCGCAAAAGCTTACGATTATGAACCACTCGAGTTGTTCAAGCCGATATTATTCGTTTTGATTGTAATATTGCGAACCCCATGAAGGCTACATTCCATATTTTATAAATTGAAACCGATATAATGGGAGAGGCTTAAAGGAATCACTGAATGTTCTTTCTTCGAACGAAAAGGACAACACAATAGAATGGATGATAAATTTTCATACCTTGACGAACCTTGATTCATCAGGTGCCATCAACGCAAAATTCCTGTGGAAAGGTGTACCCGMACGGTATGGAAAGTCTTGAGACTTCATTCTTGTRATTGAGACCAGTAGCATGAGAAATGATGAGAAGTTAATACGAAGTRGTACAACAACTGTGCATAGTAAGCATAWTTTGATCCAATAGCATTTGTTTGCGTTACGGAAGAAAACCTTCAACGACATTTGTGGGTTGTTAYAGATCTTGTAAAATTTTAAAACACAAATTACGAGCCATATAGTTTACAATCTTATTTCAGTATCATGGTAATCTGTACTACCTCTTGTAGGAAACACAACAGTATCTGGTAATCACTGTCTTCTCCCTACGATCAACAAAAGGAGAGAAGAATTGCAGTAGACACTGCAAAGGCTAACGATTGACTCGTCAATAGGAGCTTGTTCCCAGAGCTTGACTGTGGTTGATTCGGAGATACTGGAGTTGGCGGGGATGCAGTTGGGACGATCGCTACTGGCTTAGGTGTTGGTTTCAWATTTGGTGTGGGTTCAACATTTGGTGAAGGTGTRGGTGATACAGGAGTTGTGGCGTTGGAAAGTGTTGGAAGCATTAGCGCGTTCTTAATAGCAAATATAACGCCATCGCAGGCTTCCATTCCTTCGCTAGCGATTTTGGGCCTGCGTCCCGACCCATCGTTTCCAGGACCAACTTGGTATATTTTTTCTCCATTGCATAGGGTAGTACTAGTTTCTTGGTTCACATGAAGTTCTTCGTTCAACATTGGAAGAGCCATATTACAGTGTTCTTCAATATTTCCCTTTATCCCCTCTGCTGAGACATGAAATAACAGAATGTCATTTATAGTTCCTTCCGAATAGCCTTCMGACTGGAGCTCTGATACTTTGGACTCGAAAAGCTCGTCGCTAGGTGCGAAAATAGTAAATTGACCGTACTTGAAATCCAAACCTCTCTCATCAAGCTTTTCGGAAAATGCAGACGCTCCCATTTTTTGGAGTTGTTCGTCTATGAATTTGTATTTGTATTTGTATTTTTGTTTCAGTCACGAAGAAGAGGTTACGGTATTATGAGAAATCACGACGTAGGCATCAATGGTCGCTATTGTTCAGTTCATCTATTTCGTACTCACGAATGGGGATGCATTCAACCGCTGGCACA